GAGCTTGATATATAATTCAGTTGGTGACAAAATAAAGCACAACACAGTTACAAGTGGTAACAGACATCAATGAAATCATAGTGAACACACAAGAATTGACATTTTAGAAAAAGGTAGAGGACGAAGACAAACATTATTATGATGTTAGTTTTGAAGAATGCAAAGACAGTTAGAAGACAGAGCCTGAAACAGCTTGAAGAGTTGTTTGGCTGAAAGATGTGATTTAAAACCAGTTACTGAAAATGATATGTTAAGTGATGATTAGCAACAGACACGAAGGACCAAAAGACAATGCTAAATGAAAAATATTTGGTTTTATGGTTATCCATAGGCTAACTTCATGCTTGACAGATATACATGTGACAAGTCTTTCATTTGTCATCAGTGCTCACTGGGAGGAAATACTTGCTATGCCATTAATACAAGATACAAGAATACACATAATATAGAGCAGTATGTCCCAAATCTGTCCTCTGGGACCACTAACACTGCCTGTTCTCCAATTCCCCTTAAACAAATCATTGATGAAATAAAAACAAATGTGTGTTTAAATTAAATTAAATGTATGTTTAAACACTAGGGAAATTTCATCTTCAGCTCCTGATACTGCGGATCTGGCCTAAATAAATGAAGTTGTAAACTTACTTATTGGGGATTTAGCTTATAATATGGTTGGCTTTAAAACAAAGTGCTTTCTTCTGTACATTCAGGGACATGAAAATTGCTGCAAAGATGTTTCCATTCATATACATCTAGAAATACATTATGCAATGTATTGCTTATATATCAGTACCAGGACTGAAAAATAATAGCCATATAGAAATATGGGAGCTGTCACTATTTAGTGAGTCATTGGCCTGGAACAAGCATGTGCTTATGAGAAGTCCCAACAGCTGATATATACACATGCTTGTTTCAGATCAGTAACACACACTGAGCAGCATAGAAAGGATAAGGATGACAGCCCTGCATCATGCATTTTTAAAAACAGGTCAGTAATGGCAGCCTCTGTTTTTTGTAAGTTTTTTTGTTATTTTGATAAGGGCACATTTAGTGGATAGAGTACACAGACACATTCGCCAGGTCTTGATCTGCAACCTAGTTGTTTTCCTAGTGCAAGGGAAGCAGGCATAATTGGTTTTTACTATAAGGCCCCATAGGGCATTTTGAATCGCGTGCAAAATTGCCACGATTCTGCCCACAATTTCAAAACGCTCTGCTAAAATGACAAATCAACATGAATGGCATCTGAACACGTGGTTCCATGATTTGTCATTTTAGCAGAGCATTTTGAAACTGAGATTCAAAACTCCCTAGTGTGAATTGGGCCTAACATTTAGTTATGCAAACAGCTCCTCATTGTAGGCAATTTTCTGTGTACTAATAAACCAGTCTCTTTTATTGTGCATTCATAAAGTACGCACTTTTGTTAATTTACTTATGTTGCAGCCTAATACTACAGTTTAAATTAATTTTTTTCCACATTAATCTACACTTAGTACCCCATAATGACATACTAAAAACAGAATTTTAGAATTGTTCGCAAATGTATGAAAAAGAAAAAATTGAAATATCACATTGGCATAAGTGTTCAGACCCTTTGCAACAACACTTGAAATTTAGTTCAGGTGCCTCCTGTTTCTCTTGATTGTTGCTGAGATGTTTCTACAACCTGATTGGAGCCCACCTGTGGTAAATTAATTTGATAGGACATTTGGAAAGGCACACACATCTCTATAAAAGGCCTCACAGCTGACAATGTATACTGTATCAGAACAAAATCCATGAGGTCAAAGGAACTGCCTGCAGAGCTCAGAGACAAGATTATTGCAGGGCATAGATCTGGAGAAGGTTACAAAAAAATTCTGCTGCACTGAAGGTTCCCAAGTGACCTTCATAATTCTCAAATGGAAGATGTTTGGCACAACCAGGACTCTTCCAAGAGCTGGTCACCCAGCCAAACTGAGCAATTAGGGGAGAAGGGCCTTAGTAAGGGAGGTGACCAAGAACCAGATGGTCATTCTGGCTGAGCTCCAGAGATCCTGTGTGGAAATGGGACAAAGTTGCTAGACAGAAGCCTCTCCTCAGTGCAAAAACATGAAAGCCTGCCCAGAGTTTGCAAAAAAGCACCTAAAGGACTCTCAGACTGTGAGGAACAAGATTCTCTGGTCTGATGAAACCAAGATTGAACTGTTTGGCCTAAATTCTAAACGTTATGTCTGGAGGAAACCAGGCACCTCTCACAACCTGCCCAATACTTTCCAAACAGTGAAGCATGGTGGTGGCAGCATCATGCTGTGGGTTTTTGTCAGCAGCAGAGATTGGGAGACTGGTCAGGGTTGACAAAAAGCTGAATGGAGCAAAGTACAGAGAGCTATCCTCAATGAAAACCTGTTCCACATCGCTCAGAACCTCAGACTGGGCCGAAAGTTCCCCTTCCAATATGACAACAATGCTAAGCACATAACCAAGACAACACAGGAGTGGCTTAGGGACAACTCTATGAATGTCCTAGAATGGCCCAGCCAGAGCCCTGACTTGAACACTACTTATATGGGAGAAAATCCCCCAATCCAGGTGTGCAAAGCTTGTCCCATCATAACCAAATAGACTCGTGGCTGTAATTGCTGCCAAAGGTGCTTCAACAAAGTACTGAGTAAAGAGTCTGAATGCTTAAGTACATGTTATATTTAATTTTTTTCTTTTTAATAAATTCAGATATATATGTGTGTATATATATATATATATATATATATATATATATATAATTTGTTCACAGTATAATAGTTCTAGTATATCAAAATGCAGCAGAACACAATATATGCTAGGTTAATTAAATCCTTATTAACACAAGTTTAGAGACAATGTATGAACATGAACAAGAATGTAGAAATAAAATCCAAAATGTCAAAAATTAAATTCATATACAGTAAGTGCATATGAAGGCCAGGTATGGGTAGTGCATAGATAGTGAATGTTCCTGCCTACAAGGAAGTAGATCAAGCATTCTTGCATCATTACTGTGCATTGGGAACCTTCTGGGAAACCAGACTGGTAACTTGTATTTCAGGAAACCTCAACACTGTGGGGTATATTTATAAAGCAGTGAAAGTGACTTTCACCAAACATTCCCTGGAGGTGAATTTTCTTAGTCCATGTGTTTTAAATGACAGCGACTGATTCACCTACTATTTTGTAGTTTGGAGAAATCAACATATTGTAGCTAAATTCATATTGTGACACAGGTAAAACATAAACAAGAAGGGACAACAAAAAGGACAGGTACTACAGCTTACAGAACAAGAGTCATATTGTGCACATTAACAAAATACATTGTAAACTAATTATGATGTACTTTTTATTTTAGGACATACTCCTGCTCTTCATTACTTGCTCTTCACTCCAAATACTTTGCATCCTCAAATGCCCCCCTTTACTCCTTCTCTAAGCCTTGGCTGCTTGCTAGTTGTCCTCTTAAGTAGTCCTTTAAAGTTGCCATGCATAATTTATTGCACATCCTGCGCCATTCTACTCAGCTGTCCTCTTCATATTGGAGAAGCAGGACTGAGAAAATGGGATGGTAGAGTTGAAAAGCAAGGATGGCTGAAAATAGGAAGGACGACTGAGTAGCAAGGACGACTAAGGAGAGTGCCTAACAAATGAAAATGTTTGGAGGGTAAAAAAGGATGATGTGTTACAGATTTCTGAAGAACTTTTGGAAAAGGACAGCAAACAAACAAGATTTTCAGTGATGTATGATGATGGGAAATGTGAAGAGGACATATGAAAATGAAGTAGGATTGAGGAGTGAAAGAGATCTGGAGGACGACTAAAGGAGTTTCAAAGTAAGGGTAGTGAGGTTTAGAGACAAATGAGATGCATATTAAGGTATGTCCTATAACAGACACTGTAAATATATAACATGATATCTTAGATCTCAGAATGTTATATCTTAGTATACCATTATTGGCTTCAGATATGACACAGCCTTGTATTCTTCCCATACTATTTCCCATACTATTTTGGTTATCCAGGGGTCTGTAGATCCTATTTCATTTTTTCACCTACAGCCCTATGCAGATAATATCTGATATTCCAATACAGGGGTCTCCAAACTTTCTAAGCATAGGGTCAGTTTACTGTTCATCAGACTTTAATGGGGGCTTGGTTTTAGTGGGAGTAATAGTGCCCCATTGTTGGTATCAGTGGAAGGGACAGTGCCCTATTGTTGGTACCAGTGGAAATAATAATGCCCCATTGCTGGGATCAGTGGTAGGAAAAAAACTCCATCACTGGTTTCTGTGGGAGGAATAATATCCCACTACTGGTGTCACTGGGAGGAATGGTGCCCCATCATTATTGTCAGTTGTGAATGGAATAGTGTCCCAAGGCCAGATTGAGGCCACATCTGGCCTCAGTTTGGACACCACTGTTCTAGTATAGTGCAGACTTTAATTCAGCAATAGGTGTAGGACTACACTATTTCTTAGGAGGGAGCTGCTGTAGGGAGTTACCCCTACACTATATTTCTACTTGGTCACAGAAGAACTAACTGAATTAAATTAGGCTTATAAACCCTTTCTAAAATGTATTTTGAATGGATGGCAGACACATTAGTCTTGCATAATGAAAAAAAAAGTTTAAACCCTTTTAATTCAATGCTGACTAGCAGATACAATGCAGATTCATCTTGACCTACATCCATCCCCATAATAACCATATATAACTATATAATGTAAAAGTTCTCCCTTGTAAGCTATGCCTAAAATAACAGCTAGTCAGTTTGTATCTATATTTAAAGTACTGACTTATAAAGTAATGGCTGTGTGCAGTACGGAAGCCAAACTGAGGCGGGGATCATTTTGTTAGATAGCTGTATATCTACATCCACATCCATTTATGCTTGGCTATGTTTCAAAACACTATTTAAAAGTTCTCCAACAAGACAAAAAGTGCAAACAAGTCATAAACGAAAACTTACAGCTGTGTAGCAGGCATAGTTAGAGTCCCCAGGGGGCAGTTAGTAAGACAGTTTGGTTCTAGACAGAACAGACAGAAAAAAAAGCAAATAGATTGAAAAAGAAATGAAAGAAAATAGTCAATAGTTGTTTGCAGAAGATGAATATTTCCAAGCTTCTGGAATGTCTGTCTGCAACAGATAATGCAAGAGAAGTACTGATTAAAATGTTAATTCATAGCATGACAAGGTAAAGAGGCGTGAAGAATACAGGAAGCAAGTAATGAGACCTACTGACAAGTTAGCCATTGATTTTATGTTCACAGCTTGTACTTCATAACAGCACCTGTTACCGACACAGTACACACCAGTGGAGTCTAACTCACTTCTATTAATACAAGGAGCAATATGAAAAGCAGAGTTATCCACAACAACCATTATCATTAGCACGATTCATTAAACCAAAAAAGCTGAAGGAATATAAAAAGGTTGCTATGGCTACTGCACATCGCAGTTTTTGATCAGCATGTAAATGAATATTAGTACCTATTACTAATGTATGTGCATAAGTAGTAACCCCTTACAGATGTCAGAAGGTTTTCACGAACTTGTACACGTTGCATGCAAATATTTAGAAACCTGTGCAAAACAGTAAGTCCGAACCTATATTTCTTATTTAGTAATCATTTAATGCCTATTTACAGTTTTGTGGTGCATTAATCCACATATTAGTGTGTATTGCATTGGGGCAGCCCATTTAAAATAATGGGCTGCCAATGTACCCAAAATGGGTAAAAATTGGACATGACTTTTCGTTTTCATCGCAACTATTGTGAATCGTGGAGTGCTGAAAAGCAATTGCATGGCCTTAGTGCATTGGGGTGCAATTCAGAATGAATGGCACAGCAACACATGTAATATGCATTGCTGTGATTTGTTGGAAAATGTGCATTACTGCAATTCAACAGTTTTAGTGTTCTGGCTATACTAACCATAAGGAGGGAGACGTATTACAGGTCTCAATTACTAAATATCACTTCTCTTTGAATTACCTTTAGGCTAGGTTCACTCTAATGTGGTGCGGTACATCGCATGTGATTTGCACAGGAACCGCACCGTATTCCTGTGCAAAGCACATGCGATTTGTGTGTGGTGTGATTGGAGCCATACATTTTGTATGGCTCAAACTGCACTGCACCCAATCCAAAAAGGTGCAGGACCCTTTTTTGGGTCCACACTAGAATCAGATCGCATGGGCATTCACACCTATGCGATCCGATTCTGCACATCACACAGCATTTTGCGGACTGATTTCGGGGTGTTGTTAACTTAGCATACACACCCTCATCGGTTCACACGAACGGGGTTCGATTCTGATGCGGTGCAGAATTCGCACAGAAAACACTGCGAATTCCGTACCACATCAGTGTGAACCCAGCCTAAAAGTATAAGTCCAGCCTGCTCCTAACTAAGCTTAAACCTGCCCCCACCTCGTCCTAAACCCTTTCCTATCTACCCTGTGAAAGGAAGATGTGTATACTATAACAGAAATTAAGATGTGGATACTTCCCTCTTCTGAAAGTGTTCTGGTCCAGTCACATGGTCAGCTGTCAGCAGCTTCAGTGTGGAGGAGAGACAGCCGACAACAGATGCCCCATAGATGCCTATGGGTGACATCTATGGGGCATAGACAACAGATGCCCCAACAGATGCCTATGGGTGACATCTATGGTGCATAGACAACAGATGCCCCATAGATGCCTATGGGTGACATCTATGGGGCATAGACAACAGATGCCCCAACAGATGCCTATGGGTGACATCTATGGGGCATAGACAACAGATGCCCCAACAGATGCCTATGGGTGACATCTATGGTGCATAGACAACAGATGCACCATAGATGCCTATGGGTGACATCAATGGGGCATAGACAACAAATGTCCCAACAGATGCCTATGGGTGACATCAGCTCTCAGGCCCTGCAGCTGTTGTCGGCGTTATTTCCTCTTCACTGATGCCGGCCACTGGGGAGATCATGTGACCGGAGTGGATCACTCTCAGAACAGGTAAGTATACACATCTTCCATTAACAGGGTAGATAGAATTAGGTTTGGAAGAGGGTGGGGGCAGGCTGAAGCTTAGTTGGTATAGGCTGGACTTCTGCTTTAAAGTTCTATTGTATGTGTAAACCCTAACGATAAACTTCTCTTTTTTGCCTTCTTTTGGACTGCTAAACATATCATTAAAGGTTTTTCATTATATCTGTTTGAAAAGCGCAAAAATTACCTGTTGGTTTTGCCAGAAATCTTGTTAGCTAATAACTTCCTATGCTCTCTGACTGTGCACAAGGAGGGGTTATGGAAGATGGAAAGAGGTGGGGGCGATGAGGAGAGTTCTGTATTCTTTGTAATCCATCGGAAATTAAGTAGGCAGGTGGACACAAAGGGGATCATTTACTAAAGCTGCATGGTGCAAAATCAGGTATACCTCTGCATAGAAACCAATCAGCTTCCAAGTTTTACTGTCAAAGCTTAATTAAACAAGCTGAGGTTAGAAGCTGATTGGCTACAATGCAGAGCTGCACCAGATTCTGAGTATACCAGCTTTAGTAAATTTCCTCTTATGTGCTTAGGAATTAAGAGGAAGGTAGTAGCACATCAAACTTCTGGGGTACTTCAACAGTTATTTTTCTGTACTTGCAGGGATAACGTAGAAGGAAATGTTCATGTGTTGCAGAGTCGAAAAAATAATTTTTTTTTGCCTTGACATACACTTTAAAGTCACCCTTTCCATTCATCTTGCTATTCTATCAGTACCTGTGCAGAAAGGCTGTTTTAATCTCTTTATTGCTCCCTCTCCCAGGTCGCAGCTCTCCAGAAATACCAGATAGGAGTTGTGAAATCTCTGATGAAAGTCAACCTTACCTTCAGAAATGTGATCTCCAGTTTGTGCGCGTGTTCAGTCTGCCTGCAAACAATGTCATTCCTCTTACGCCACTGGTGGGAAATATATTTTTCTTCTATTAGCTAACCTAAAGGTAGCCATACATAGGTCGACATTTGACCAGTTAAGCAGGGACTGGACGAATTTCAATCCACGTATGGGCAGGCTGGTTCTACAGAAGCCAATCTACTGTACAACCAATGTGTTATTTTTTTTTTTTTTGAATGATCAGTGCCACCGGCTTTAGAGGGAGTGATTCCCCCATCCATCGCAAATGTGTGGATGGGGAGACTGCAGATTTTCTTTTCACTCAACCTGCAGGCTGAACTAAAAAAAATTATGTTGTATGTATAGGTCATAAGTATGTGTGGCCAGCTTTGAGCTGCCCATAGATGATCACAATTTGGCTTGTTCAGCAGGCAGTGGTTGAGGTTCAACTGATCTATAGTACTCCATTGATTCCAATGGGACTGTCAGAAATCTTTTGTTGATCAGTGGCTTGCAGCCAGTTGGCTGCAGCTGCTGATCAGTGTATTCTAACAGCGAAGGCGTCCTGCAGCACAGACAGCAGAAAGGGTTCCTCCATCTACCTGCATGTGTGCCCACTGCCTGCAGGCTGATCAAACAAGAATTTGCTGTCTGTAGCCAGCTTTAGTATGTACAGCAACTGCTAGATTAGATAGTAAGTGGAATGGCATTGGTTTCTTTACAGCTGAACCTTTTTTTTCCATCATCCTTCTGTAATACCCTGTATAGCTGCATTCAAACTGGAAGAGAGGCAAGCAAGAGTAGTCACTCAGGCTCTAATGCAGTACACAAATGCTGACTGTGCACATGGCAAGTGGAAAAGAGGGTAGAAAGTACAGAGAAATGACATCATCAGTGTGGTGCTGCTCCTTCACTGACCAATCACCAGGCTCAAGGTGTGTTTTTTGCCTTTGCTGTGCTGCTGCTGCAGTTTGAAGATATGGCTGTGCCGTCCAGCAGGGCGTTTGTACCGGAAACCTGATACCACAGAATTACACATTTTGTGGTAGGTTAAACATTTTCTATACAGGAATCTAACTAATTTAGGTGCTTGGCTAGAGTTTAGCTTTCATAATTAAGCCTGCCTATGAACCCGTGATACTGTGTCATATTTATTCAGTTGTATCAATTAGATATTTATGCTAATTACACTATGTATGCAAGAAATTGTATGCCAGGAATTTAAAGAAAATGGTCAGAGCAATAATTTTTCTAAATAAAACAAGTTGTCTTCTTTAAAGTTTAAACTAAATGTAAATGGAAAAAAAAATAATAGCATATTGTTGAACACTGACTCCTAGAAATGACAATATGATACAAATGTTGTTTTACAAATAATGTATACCATTTATTGATGGTGGCACTGTTTGTGGTTGCATTCATGACACTTTTGATATTCATTATGACATTTTCACTGAAAACATTAAACTAAGCCCAGCTGATTCACTTGACAAAAGAAATTCATCTTTTCCCATTTGCACAATGCATGCTGTTTGTTTTTATAATTACTTGCTAGATTTTAACTATAACTGTTTGCTAAAAAGATTGCACACAATGTAAAAAGAATCTTAAGAGGTCAGTACTTAACAGAGACCTCGACAAACTGAGCAGGAAAGTCCAAGTAGAAAACACTTCTCTATTACTTTATTTACAAGAGATAATTACTGTGCAAGTACAGATGGAGAGAACTGCTTGTTACTCTGAAGAATTGCTTGTTCATTGTGTTTAATCATTTATTGGTTTATAAAATAAAGAATGAAAATGAGACAAAACATAATATACAGGCTTTATAAGCAGACTTGAAGTTGAGCTTCAAACAGATAAAAATCCAATTCATCTAGTGCTTTATTCATTAAAAAACGAGGCAAAGCAGGCACAGACATTTCTGTAGGTAAGTTTTGAAGGGTGCATATAACGTACCATTAAGCAATCCAGACCAGTAACATTTGTTCACACATCAGAACTTACAAAAATCTCTGAGCCAGGAGTTCTGTTTTACGTGTATTTTTTAATTGTGCTAGAGTGTATATGTGCTAACAACTGACATGCTGAAAGTAGGAGAGAGCAGAGCGAGATGAGCTCATCAGTTTACTGCTTCTCCTTTAGGCCCCTTTCACATGGGCGGATTCTGTTTTGATCAGCTGGGGATCGGCTCGCAGATCCCCTGCCAGTCAAACAGAGAGGGCAGATGACAGGTCCATGTCCATTTATCTTATGCAGAGCGGACATGAACAAAGTCTGCTCTGCTTTATGGGCGGACGAGAGTAAATGGACTCTGCTGTATGTGTACACCCAAATACCCTCCAATCTGACCTGCCTAAATGGAAGAGAACGGGTTCCCTTCTGTTTTTTTTTTATTTGACCAGATCGAACCCAGAGGCAAGTGGGTGTAAATGGACAAGTCTGTTTACACCTGCCTGTCCATAGGGATACATAGCCCTTCCAAACAGGTCCACCTGAAAAACTGCCAGGCGGACCTCCAGTGCGAAAGGGGCCTTAAGTGTTCAATAATAGCTGGAGGCTGGACAAGACCTAGTTGTACTATTCAACTGCTGTAAAGAAAAATCAGGTCTCCAAGCTGGCTGTGCTGTCTGTCAGTGTAACTCTTAGGAATGAATGCACAAAAAAAGACAAATCCTTTGGCAAGTAAAAACAGTTCTCACGTGTGCATTTAATTTGTGTTTTAAGCTGCTTGCCTGGAGCTCAGCTTTAAGGGTCTGTATTCATTTTCCTTCTCTTTCCCTATGCCTAAAAGAATATTTTAGGTTTGTCAGGAATTCAGCTAAAGTGGCAAAATACTGATTCCCCAATTACTACCGGTAATTTGTATGTCACATCAGTTACAATGAGTTGAACCCTGCTAACATTCAAGATTACAACTTCAGAATAATAAAGAGCATATTTAATAAAACAGTCTAAAGAAGTATGGTATTCTACAAATCTTGAATCAGCTGAGTGTAGGTAAAAGAAAGGTGATTCCAATTTGGGGTAAATGTACACCACTGGATTTTGTATGTCATTAATAAAAGATAACCGTAATGTTTTGGGCTCGATTTTGTTTACACTTTTTACAATGTGTATACATGTAATTCTTTTACTATATACAGCATACACATTGGGGTTGATTTACTAAAACTGAAGAGTACATATTTTGGTGCAGCTGTGCATGGTAGCCAATAAGCGTCTAATTTCAGCTTGTTAAATTTTTATTCAATTGTTCAAGCTTTTTAAAAAAAAAAAAAATAGAAGTTGATTGGTTTCTATGCAGAGTTTCACCAGATTTTGCACTCTCCAGTTTTAGTAAATCAACCCCATTTTGCTTTACAAATAAACAGCTGAAACATGGCAAATGATTCCCAAGCAAATATGGGTTAGCTAAAGTGACAGCAGAGCAAAATAAGCTTCCTTTTACACCCAGTTCTCTCATTGAAATCTAGAACTGAGCAGTCTGGTAAAGGATGAGATATTGAGATTTAATTTACTAAAACTAGAGCGTGCAGAATCTGGTTTTTGTCAAAGCTTAGTAATCAACAAGCTTAAGTTAGTAGCTGATTGGCTATCATGCACAGCTGCACCAGATTCTGCATTCCCCAGTTGTAGTAAATCAACCCCATTGCTCTGACTCATCCAATTCTGTGGGTAAATGTCAGCTATTGATCATTGTACACCATAGGATTTTTATACAGGGGACTGGCAGAAATGGCAATTAAAACAACCTGAGGTTTCACCTATTGGTTGAATAAAATACAACATAATACTTGATATTTACAAGCAATATATTTCATTTAGCGAAAAAATAATAAGCTGGGAAATAACAATATATTGTAAAGGCAGTGGAAAAAGGAATGGAGGTCTTCCCCTTTAACAGGGAACTGTATGGAATGCTCTCCTTGCCAAGAATACCAGTATTTATATAAGTGAATATGACTCTACTCCATGTCAATTATGTTGTGAATATATAGAATAACATATTCAATCCAAACTCAGATTCAATTTAGGAAATTGTAATGTAGAGTCTCGCCTTCCTTATAACATGGAACAGTAGCATAACCTTCCATTTTACATCCAGGGAAAACCTATATTGATGAAAAGACTTTTGTGCATACATAGCATAATGGAATCAAAACCAATACTGGTATTTAAAGATAGCATTTACAAATGCATTTCCAATACCCATTCATGATATACATGTTAGAAATTTAGGAGGACCATCCTGTGCCACATGAAAAAAACAACATTGAAGAAAGGTCCTCAATAATGGTACCCAGCTTAAATGACTAACAGGAAAAATGGGAATATTACCTCCCACTGGATGGCTTCCCTGTTTTACCCCTTAAAAGAAATCACAAACAACAGACAAGTGATATATGGAACCAGTAAACTGTAATGCATGCAAGCTAGTCTTCTGAAGAGTCTAAATAATACTGTGGGAAATGATTTGATGTTTTATTAACTGTTGCAAGATTCTTTAATCAGATTTTTATTTGTGGAAAACTAATAAAGTACATAGTATCCTTCAACCTTTGGATGAAGAGCCACGACTTCCATAGGATGATACATTCTTTAAGGAAATGATCAAGCTATATAAATTAATTTCAAAACACGTTTTAATTAACACAGCATGACCTATGCAGTTGAAAATTTTTCAAAAAACTAATGCACAAATGGAATTAAAATAAATAGAACATTAAATGTTCTGTTCTGCACTATGGCACAAGATGTGTCCTGAGACAAGCAGTGTGAATAGGAGAAAGTCCTTACCTCAATAGATCCTTGTTCGATTTTTAAAAGTTCTGCAGCTGTGTGGTCTCTGTAACCTCTGGTTGGACTATTTGGCATTTGTCTTTGATCATCTAAGATTTTCTTGCTAAGTACCCTGGCAGCATTTTCTGACAGCGAGTAACTTGGTGGGGTAGAGAGGTCTTGTCTAGAGCTGGCATCAACATACTGATCCCTTTGAAGATCTACAGTTATGCGGATAGGACTTGGAGATCTCCCCCTGCCATCCATATACACGTCAGGCATAGTTACAAAGTCTTGTCTGGTTTCTGCTGACCTAGATCTGCTGTTTGGCCTTGACACTTTTTGTAAATGGTCGCAATTTACAGGGCTGTGGTCAATTATATTAAACAAACTTGAAAGTCCATCATTAATTGTGGTATGAACAGGGCTTTCCCTGGTTGTCGTTGACCTAGCCCATGCAGATTCATTGAAGCCTTTCTGGGGAGTGCCAGAAGTAGCGCATTTAGTTTGCTGATCTGTTTTAGCAAGTCCTTTCTTCTGCAGTTTTGGAGAACCATATTTAGGAGAACAACAACTCCGCTCAAACTTTGCCTGAACTTTTTCAATAGCTGGAGATATCTGCCTGTTCCTCAGACTACGTGAAGGCGATGATACAGGAGTATAAACTCCCTTTGGTGTCAGACACTTGTGTGGACTGCTGGTAACGCTTCGTAAAGCCTCAGTTTGCAAACCAACACTAATTGTTTGAGTTGTTTGTGTTCCTGTAGTCTTTAAACCATTGGTCTGACAAGCAATGTCTCTAAATTGGCATTCCACCGAGTTTGATCGAATTGCATTTCTAACAGAGTTAGCTACTTCTTTCATGTCATCACTCATATTCCTTGACAACTCTATATTGTGCAGAGAAGATGCAAAGCTGACAGTAGTGCAAACAGGACGGTCCATAGGATGTAGGTTACCCTCATGAAAGTCTTTGTGGTGCTTATTGAGATCGCATGACCATCTCCCAAATACCTCTGTAGCACCATTTTTTGCATCAGAAACATTTGCCCTGGGTTTGGTCGCAGAAAAGAGTAAATCTGGGTCCAGGTGCTTCTTCTCATCATTGCCATTGTTTTCAGATTTTTCAAACCTACGAACCACTGGTGGGCTGTGAAAGACCCTAACCCCCATATTTTCAGCATCACCATGGTTTTGAGACAGCTGCTTCTGGCAGTGATCTGGGTTGGTCAAAGTATTCGTTGTCATAGTAACACTAGTGGTAAGGAACCATGAAGATGACTGGAATGTTTCAGAAGCAGATTCATATTCCATTTTCTCATTTCCAGTTCTATCCCTATATACCATTTTATCACCCTGGCCCACATTATTGTAATCCCAGTTCTTGTTAAACTCTTCAATATATTTCAGATCATCAGGAGACAAGGGCGGCGTTAACTCATCCTTGTCGCCAGAAAGAATCTAAGTTCTTCTCCGGAAGGAAAGGAGAGCTTTCCATTAATCGATGAAATTCAGACATGGAGGAAACAGACATGACCCTATAAAACAAAGGGCATGTAATAATTAAGTAATGTGACTCCACTGCTGGAACAAAGCTATATAGAATAGCAAACATGCAAGACTACAATAAATGCATGTAAGCTAAAAAGACAGATCATGGATAAATCCAAAACTTGGGAGCATGCAAGTAGTATATTGTCATGCAGACAAATTTAAAAGATCATTCCTATATTTTGGAACTTTTAAGAGATACTTACCTCTGCAAACCTCCCTTTTGTGCATCATCCTGCAATAACAAGCAAGATAGTTATAGGCTTATTAATCCAAGAAGTGTTTTTCAATACAATCAATGTACATTGTTAATTATTTATTTTTCATTAAGACAGCACAATACATTGTTGTACATAATCTGGGGCTATAAAACAAGTTAACACACAATATGATGCCAACAGATAAATAATGCACAAATCACTAAAAATAATTATACATATTAATGGTAAATCTAAATGTAATTCAATGAAAATACCATACTCTGCTGTTACAGAGACTTCAGAGTGTCATGGATTAGCATGAGAATTGATCAATTTGTACAAAGAGAAAAATACATTTTGTCATAACATCAAATATGAAAGCATTCCAACCACTCAAATACATGGTTGATTGATAGGTTCATTTAAGATTTAAACTGATGTCTGTTTACTCTGATGTCTGCTGCTCATGATTTGTTATACTAGCATATTTTACCTGTCATACCTGTCAACATATTTTATTTATCAGGAGGGAAAATATGGAAAGCAAGAAATACTTTACATAAACTTAATGTAGTAATGTAATTCCCCGCTTATGCCTCTATCATATCTATGTGTTTTAATGGGATGGTGGTGCCTCAATACCAGGTACAGGCTTCATTGGTATGGTGCTTCATCATTCGTAAGTAGCAAATTTCACCATATGGCATTACAGGTGTGTTGTTGTGTGGGCAACCCTATGAGAAAAGTGGGCAATTCAGTCTGTACTTCGTGATACCATAATTTGGTATTGTACCTTAGGTACGAGGGGTCTAAACAGAGTGCGGAAACATTTTGAAGAACCCTCGTACATATACTGATATAAAACTACATAAAGTTATAAAAGTATATCTAAAGCCAAATATTTTTTTTGTTTATAATACATTAAGGAATGGTTAAAACCCTGTTAAGTTAATTTGCAGTCTGTGTCCTGTTGGTGGTGAAGTAGGAAGTAAGAGGAAATCGCTTCAAAATAAGGAAAATTTCCTCTTAGACATTTATCGCTAACAAATGTCCACATGGGAAGATTTTTTTTGTATTTCTTTTACAGTGGCATTTTAAAATTTTGGATTTTTTTCTCACTTTCTTTTCTAGTGACAATGGTCATTAGGTCACATTGACAGTGTAATTCTTCTTGGGGACACTACAATAAAAATCTGACAGAAGTTGTAGATCTTCCTCATTCTGACAAATACTATTAAAAAATGGGCTGCAGAAACACTTTAACTGATCCAGCATTTGCGCACACTCCTGGTTCCCTGTCTGTGTTGTCATTTGCTACAACGTAAGCCGATCAGCAGGTCCCGGCTAATGATTTATGGCCGTTATTAGTAAAATTAATATATATCCCATAGTTTGTAGATGCTATAAATTTCACGGAAACAAATTAATATATATTTATTGGGATTTTTTTTACCGTAAATATGTAGCGGAATACATTTGGCCTACATTTATGAAGGAATTTGATTCTGAAAACGTTTGATTTAAAGAAGAAAATAAAAATATTGTTTTTTTGTTCAATGTTTTCGGTCTTTTTGCATTTATATAATAAAAAAGTAAAAAAAGACATTGGTGATCAAATGCCACCAAAATAAAGCTATATTTGTGTGAAAACAATTATATAAATGTAATCTGGGTACAGCATTGCATGACCATGCAATCGCCAGTTAAAGTAGCGCACTGCCGAATAGTAAAAGGTGGCCTGGTCATGAAGAGGGTAAAATCTTCCAGAGCTTACAGTAAGTGGTTAACCTCTCAACTTTATGGTATTTTGTAACACACATAAAATCATTGGAAACAGATTTCAAAACGTTATTAAGAAGATAAAGAAAAACATAAAAAAAATTTTTAAAATGGAATTTCAAATAAAGATTTCATTCACAAAGATGTGATAGTTCTGTCCTCATATGATGAATAAAGAACACATAGGATTCCGGTATTACCGTAAGATACATTCTGTTACTCCATTAGGTAACTGCTTATATTAGTTACAATCCTTTTGCTGTAGTGTAAGACTCAGAGGCATAGATATTGTGCTCAAACACGGAGCAGCAACAGAAAAGGCGCATTACCTCAGTAGAGAACTTATCACGCTCCAGTTTGCGGGGCTGAGTTAAATCAGTCTCATCAGCAGAATCCAATGAGAGGGCATCAAGAAAGAGATTCTCAGAGCCAGAGCAGCGATCGGACCCCTTCAGCTTAGGCAGTAACTGTTCCTCAAACTGCATATCATCGGAGTCAGAAAATGACCTAGCTCCATGCGAATGCAGCACAGCCTTGGCTGAATATTCAGCCATACCACCACCATCATGTTGGTCATCAAGGAAGCTATCGGTTCTCTGAGGACTTGATTCCGTTTGAAACTGCAAAAATAAAATACAAATGCTAAATAAGTTTAGAGAAAATGAGAGTTTAACGTTCCTTATAACTGCATTTAATCGTTCACATTAGCCAAAACACATAGATTATTTGGGGTTGGTTTTCTTAGGTTCCTCAACAAGTTACTGGTTAAACCTCTTAAGGACTCAGCGCCCTCTGCTCTGTAGTACAGAAGTAGATCGGTGCATCTGGGATCATTTACAACCTTCCTTCCTATTCTGTACAGGAAGAACTATGGCTGTATTGTAAGGCGAATATGGCTTAGCCCCAAGACAGTGTTCATCACAGCATGCCAAGGGCTTGCAACAGAAGCACTGTTTTGCACAGAATAAAAAACAAGAATGCTTCTGTTACCTTAATGCAGGGGTGTCAAACTCCATTTCATCGCGGGCCGTATCAGCATTATGTCCAGAGCACCCCACCCCCCATTACATCAGATGTCAAGAATCCCACACCCTCCCTAACATCACCGTGCACCTCCTTTGGGGGCAGAGCTGGAAAGCAGAAAGTGCAGGGTCTGGAGGAGGACCAGAGGAGGAGTGGAGTCAGTTACCAGAGTCTACTGAGTGCTGAGACCAGGGGAGGCAGAGATGAGGGGGTTCTGCAGCTGCACTGAGAGGAGGATTTGGAAGAGGAGTTTTATTCCCTCTGCTGCCAACTGCTGAGACAAGGTGGGGGCGGGGACAAGGAGGTACCTGCAGGAGAGGTGCAAGGGCCACATGAAATGGCCTGGAGGGCCAGATTTGGCCTGCAGGCCTTGTGTTTGACACCTGCGCTATAATGGATTCCAACCTCACTAAAATTATTGACCACTATACCTGCTCTATTTCCCTTAGGAATTCTGTTCTTTGCTTTTCCCATTCATGTTTTTCCTTTTCAAATCGATTCAGCAGCTCTCCTTTCTCCCGACTCCAGTTCTTTTCACTCTGCTGTACTTGCCTGCGAAGGTCCATCACCAACCTGTGGCTCTCAGCAAGCAACTTTTTGTGCTCCTCTCTCTCATGACTGACAGATAACTTAACTTCACTGGGGCTCAAGTCTTCAGGCACTTTTGGCCTCCTTACTTCATACTGCAAAAGGAAAACAGACATAAATACGAAAAAAAATGTAGTCCTCCTGTTATGTCTAATACATATATACACTAAATACTATGCAATGCATATAAAAAACCTATTCTGTGCATCAATTGCAGGGCTATAAGGGCTTCATTTTTTTTTTTTTTTTTTTATTATTTTGCACAATATTATATACAGAAATTATATCCCGCTCCATTGGTGCAAATAACTATGTATATATAAACACAAATTATTCTTACTTAAATAAAAAAAAACTAATATGTATATATATGAGAAGGATGCAAACAATATTTGTGTTCCCACGATGAGCATTAATCATATGAATATAAGTGATTGTTGCATCTTCCCAAATTGATCGGTTATATCATAGACACAATGCAATATCCATTAATGTAAACAATGAAAATTAAATAGATAAACATATGTCCATGTGTTTAGAAAGAATAAATAAACTTTATAGGATGTAACTGTGCAGTCCTCATGCAACACTTCTTGTGATGATCACATACAGTGGGGCAAAAAAGTATTTAGTCAGCCACCAATTGTGCAAGTTCTCCCACTTAAAAAGATGAGAGAGGCCTGTAATTGGCATCATAGGTAGACCTCAACTATGAGAGACAAAATGAGAAAAAAAAAATCCAGACAATCATATTGGCTGATTTGGAAAGAATTTATTTGCAAATTATGGTGGAAAATAAGTATTTGGTCACCTACAAACAAGCAAGATTTCTGGCTCTCACAGACCTGTACCTTCTTCTTTAAGAGGCTCCTCTGTCCTGCACTCATTACCTGTATCAATGGCACCTGTTTGAACTTGTTATCAGTATAAAAGACACCTGTCCACAACCTCAAACCGTCACAGAGAGAGAGGGGGGGGGGAGAGAAGGGGTGTAAAGGGGGAGCGGAAGAGAGAGAGGGAGTGAGAGAGAGGGGAGGTGAGAGAGGGGGGTTTAAGAGGGAGGTGAGAGAGGGGGGGGGGCAAAACAGAGAAGGGGGGTGAGACTCCCCCCTTCTCATTTTCTCTTGACTCCTTAACCCTCAGCTGCTTCCTGCACATTATATCCGGGCACACAACTGGCTCTGTCATTCTCACTGAGGCACAGACAGCACAGCTTGAGGCTTCATTTAATGGAAGGGGGGCATGATTGAGTTTCTAGGAACCTGTTCCGGCATGTGCTGTGTCTGCCCAGATCAAGCCGTGTACAGTGTCGGGTATCGCAAGGGTGGAAGATTACTCCAGTCACAGTCTCAGTCACATTATCGGCTCCTTCACCAGTTTCTTCTTTTATCCTCGTCAGGTTTCTCCTTGTCTGCCTAGATTATCACCTATAATGATAATGACCATGTCTATGAAAGGTACCAGGGGCCTCTCATGGGCCCCCTACTGACCCCAGGGCCTCTCATGGGCCCCCTACTGACCCCGGGGCCTCTCATGAGACCCCCTACTGACCCCGGGTCCTCAGTCGCTCAATGGTCTGCCCGGCCCCGGAAACATAATTGCCACAGCTCTATTACTGTTTAAGAGAAACTTCAGATTCAGGCTTAAATAAAATTTACATCTGCAAGGATATGGTATTAATATCTGGAAACATTTTGTAGTAACATTTTCTACCTCCACAGGAAGAGGGGAATAATAAGCTTGGTGCTGTCACCTTTACATCTCTAGAGCCTAGTAGGAAGTGCAATCTACCTTCCCTCCATGACCTACACCAACCTCTTACCCATTCCCTAAACACATACACATCATGCACCGTCTAAACAAAAAGGCAAATACATTTTATGGTTAAAAATGAGGTGAAAAATGTTTCCTCCTAAAGGAAATTCTTATTATAAGCTCATATGTGCCGCAGGATACTGGGACTTTCCAACATTCTGAATAGGTCTATTGTGGTCAAGTAGGGGTACTACTATTGTAACAAGCAATGTTTCATAATGCCTTTTCAATGTGCAACACATTAAAGGGAAAGAGTGATGACTGTAAACCACAGGTATAAGATCAGAAAGCAAAAACTATAGTCACAAGCACATAGTAACAAGATTAAAACACAATATCCACAAATACAATATTACGAAAAAGACAAAAAAGAATCACAAAACCACAGAAATAGAATCAAAAGATCAGCACAACTAAGGACAGGAACAAAATACTTAGCTGTGGCTTTATGTATGTGTAAACCCTAGCAGTGAACTAACTTTTGGTCTCTTAATTGTGCAAGTGAAAGCTTTTTGTTATATATCTGTTGATCCTGTAAGAAATGGACAGCAACTGTAGCTCATCAAAAGACAACTAGGTAGAGCTGAAATCTTTTTATTTTTAATTCCAGAGCAGGAAAAGTACTGTGTTGTGTTGTGGGCCCACAGCAAAAAATTAACAGTGTTTGTCTGCTTGGATCAAGACGTATTTTTCTTTTCTTGGATGATCTTTACAGGGATAAAACATGAAGAAATGTACATGTATTACAAATAGACATGCTATTTGTTTTTTGTTTTGTTGTGAATTGAAATTCAGAAGAAATTTTTATTCAGAGTTTCAGATTTATCCGACATTCCAAATCACAATAGTAACGTATTTCAATAAATCCGAAATAAATTATAATGAAACTCATTTTCAGAATTTGAAAATGAGTTTGAATTTGAAAATGAATTTGAAATGGAAACATATTGCAATAAATACAGTAAGGTAAAAAGTGAAATAAGATGATGATTTTACTTAAACTGCTCTATAAAATAAAATAAAAATAGAACAGGGTGAAATATAAAAAATAGAATATAACAGAATAGAATATAACAGAAAAGAATAAAATATAATAAAACAGAATAGAATTTAAAAGTAAAATAGAATAGAATAAAACAGAATAAAGAAAGGGAAATAAGAAAATAGAATAGAATATAAAGGAAAATAATAGAATATAAAAGACTAAAATAGAATAAAACAGAATAGAATAGAAAGGAATAGAATACATTATAAAATAAAAAAAACAGAACTGAAAAGAATAAAATAGAAAGAAAATAGCTGTCTCCCGTAATTACAATTTTGAATAGAATAGAATAAAATAGAAAAAAATATAGCCATCTGTCAAAATTCTAATTTCAAATAGAATAGAACAAAATAGAAAAAATATAGCTGTCTGTCAAAACTCAAATTTTGAATAGAATAAAATAAAAGAGAAAGAATAAAGCTGTCTTTCGAAATTCTAATAGCACAGAATAAAATAGAAAGAATATAATCATCTTCCGAAACTCAAATTTTGAATAGAATAGAATGAATTAGCAAAGAATATCAGCCGTCTTCTGAAAGAATATAGCCGTCTTCTGAAATTTGATTTTCCAATAGAATAGAGAATAGAATAAAATAGAAAGAATATAGCTGTCTTCTGAAATTTTGAATTTTATAGAATAGAATAAAATAGAAAGAATATAGCCATCATCTGAAATTCAAATTTACAATAGAATAAAATAGAAAAAAAATAGAAAGAACATGGCTATCTTCCGAAATTCGAATCGACTAGAAAATAGCAAAAACAAAGAAACAAATCTAAAATATACTAAACAAATTCCAAAAATGAATCATTCTAACGTAACGAATATGGTGAAGCAAAACAATCAACTTAAGAAATAATCCAAAATGAAACAAATTTGTCTGTTTTGCACTCTTTAATTACACGGCCAGAGGTTGAGGAAGTGGTGAGTCATGGTCTGGCCTCCGAAACATGTCCCTATTGGCTACAGAGTCCCAGGGTTTGACAGGTCATTTGACAGCTCCTGACAGCTCTCTCCTGGTGGTGGCTCCTCAGATCCTCCAGATCCCTTACACCACCACACAGCTCGTACTTGGGTAAGATTACTGGGACCTGCCACTCACACTCCCACAATCCTTGACGTAGGCTCTCTAGTTGGGGGGAAACTGTCTGGGGTATTACCCTCTCGAGAACTGCTGTTGATAATCATTAGCCAATCAAATGGGGACGTGGACATCGGCCCTGGCTGCCAGCACTCCAGGGGTGTATTGAAAAAGACATGCCATGAACATATCACAGTGGCCCTGACATCCAGCGGTATCAGCACAGACAGGACCCTCCCTGGGTGGTCCCACCTTGAGTTGTTATATGCCCGACACCTCTGACGTTTGTGAGTGCATTTTAATTGTATATTGATGTTCTATTTAATAAACGGTGCTACACTATGGGCAGCGTGGCACCTCTCCTTCCCCTCCCTTCTTCTGTTCCAGGGTTTTAAAGTGACCCTGTTACACTACTATGTTTCTCCTCGCAAACTACAAAACACATTCTACATTTTCCCCAAAAGAAAAATATAAAAAACCACAGAGTTATATTTAAGAGTGGTGTTTGTGGTGTGACCAATGACACAAACAATTTTCATATTAGCTGATTCTCTTGCAGCAGTCAATAGCTGTGCATCTGGAATAGGATGATTATTATATTTATCATCATAAATACTGTATATTGTATTGGGTATCTGAGTACACATTTTAAAAGAATACCAGAGAACAAATATTGCATTATTTTCTATTCTGTAGAACCTAAAACCTTATATAATCGTATCCACCCCCCTTACTATATTGCATAAGTGTTTATGAATGATTTTATTTATGGGCACATAAATGTCACTCTAATGATCATGACACATCTTATTTCAATTAAAAAGGAAAAATGACTTCACTGTGAACACTGCACATGGTAAAAAGGCAGGAAACATGATATCATGCTAAGCAGACACTGTCTGTCTCAGTGAACGCCCTAGAAACGGATTTATGATCCAAACATCACATTAGAGGTCAGCGTTGGCATGAAACGATCTTGTTCCAGATAGTGAAGTGATACTGCTAATCTTTTTACCACATATACACATTTAGAGCCATCAAAGTGAAGTGCCCACTAGGAGCCATTATAACAGCACTTGTGTGGATGGGTGACTATTAAGCCACCTGCATATACAGTATATATACATATATATATATATATATATATATATAT